CGAAACAAAAGAACATTCCCCGTTTATTAGTCACTTTCTGACATCTTTGACTCTCCTGTCTCTTCAGGAGGCTCATAAAGAACTTATGGACCAACCTATTACCTGTGAGGAAATCCAGAAAGCTATTAGAACTTTAGTTCTACATAAATCACCAGACCCTGATGGTCTTCCTCATAATTATTATAAAACCTTCTCAGATCTTTTGGTTCCACATATGATTCTTTATTTTAATCATCTATGGGATGGGGGTGCAGTGCCACACGATGAGAATAGCGCATATATCAGAGTTATTCCTAAACCTAACAAAGATATCACAGCTGTTCTTAATTACCACCCTATTTCTCTAATCAGTTGTGACCTCAAGATCCTTACTAAGGTTTTAGCCTTGCGCCTTAATACCTTTCTGGAAATCTACGTTCACAATGACCCAGGATTCATACGAGGACGTCAAACCCGAGATCAGATCCGTTGATCTTTAGCATTGATATCTGCAGTAAAATCTAATCGAGATAACTCCCTACCCAGGGAAATATTACTGTTATCTCTGGATACCAAAAAGGCATTTGATAGTCTGACCTGGGAATATCTATTTAACACGCTGATCGCCTTTGGATTTGGCTCCACCTTTATCTCTCTTTTAAAGACTTTATATAGTAATCCCTTGGTTTAGATTTCAATATGAGGATACAAATCGACTCCTCTTCTTATCAGACGTGGTACTAGACAGGGTTGTCCACTCTCCCCGCTGCTGTTTGCTCTGGCAATTGAACCCCTTGCTATTGCTATCCGTTCTCACTCTGATATTACGGGTATTCAATGTGGCCAACAGGAGCACAAATGCACCCTGTTTTCCGATGATGTCATTGTTTATATATTGGATCCCCAGATATCCATACCCAATCTATTGACTTTACTACATCAATTTTCTCTAGCTTCTGGACTTTCTTTAAACTCTTCTAAAACGCCTGCTCTTAACATTACCTTTTCCCCTTCAGAGGTACAGAACCTTTAGGACAATTATGACTTTCACTGAGCTACCTGATCCCTTCCCTATCTGGGGGTCCGTTTAATACCCTCCATCGCGACTCTTTATCGTGCAAATTATCCACCACCACTGGGCGGACTTCCCTTTATCTTGGTTCAGTACAATTAACTCCATTAAAATGACTTTCTTGCCTAGACTACTTAATTTTTTTTAGGACACACTACAAGGAGAACCATTACGATTACAATCAAAAGTCCTTCATGTTGTGTGGGGCAATAAACACCCCCCAGATCAATAAATCAACACTATACTCTCAGAAAACACATGGAGGCTTAGGACTTCCCAACCTCCTGGTCTATTTTCATGTGGCCCAGATAACACACCTCTTACACCACAGCCAAAGGTCCTAAACCTCAATGGACTATTACTGAAGCCCTGTCTAGTCATCCTTATGCTATTGGCCCTCTAATGTGGCTTCCCAATCGATTACGTCCTCCCATTTTATGCTGTACATTATCTTACTCCTTAGCCGTCTGGGACAGGCTGTGCATCCATAAATCTTTATCTTCCCCTCATACCCCTTTAGCCCCTATCTTCTGTAATCCTGAATTTATACCTGGGCTCCCACCGCCCTTATTTCAGTTGTGTATTAATAAGGGCCTTCTCCGTATAGGAGATTTTTTAGATGGGGATCTACTGTACTCTCTATAACATTTTCGGGATTAACGTCAGCTTTTCGATACATAACCAAATTGTGTCCTTTATACAATCCAAACTTAAATTACTGACAGAACCCCTAATGCTCACCTTTTTTGAACTATGCTGTCAAGCTACTGGTATGTTGAAAGGTCGAATATCTACTATATACCCTTCCCTTATTAATCCAAAAACCAAGCTCCCTTATATGCTTCATTGGGAAGGGGACTTGACTATCTCTCTAGAACTAACTGATTGCCAGGACACAGCCTACGTTCTGTCTAAGATTTCTATTAATACCACACTAATAGAATCTAACTATAAAACACTTCTGCGTTGGTACCTGATCCGTACACGCCTTGCAAAAATTCATCCTACTACATCGCCTTCCTGTTTTTCAGCACTGTGGGCAGGAGGGAACCATATGTCGTATTTGGTGGCAATGCCCTGTGGTGACTAGATTTTGGATCCGAATGTTTAACTTTATTGACACGAGTGAATATCCATAGATCCCCAGAGATAGCCCTGTTTCAAACGTTACCCTCAGGAATCCCTAAGAAATCGACCAAATTTATTCTTTACATTATCCTGGCTGCAAGAATCACTTTTGCTAAATACTGGAAGCAATCGGTGATACCACTTGATTATGTTAACAGTAAACTGAGTTGGATCATGGTTAATGACAAACTTGCCTACATTCTCAATAAAAGTACGTCAAAATTCGACAAAACTTGGGATCCGTGGATTCAACACCTCTCCGTCCCTTAGCGGGACCATGGCTGACCCTTGTCTGCCTTACTCTTTCTTTTATTCTTATTTTCTCATTTCCTTTTTCATCCCTCTTTCATACCTTTTGTTTCCAACATTACTTTTTGATGTATGTAACTTTAGTACCTGACTACAGTTTGGTCATGCGCGTAGTTAATCGTTTTTCATAGTGAAATATGTACTGGAATTCTGTCTATTGTTGCTTTCTATCTGTAGATTACACCAACGGAGCTACCTGGTCCCATACATGTAAGCTGCCATATTTTTCGCTCCTTAAGACGCACTTTTTTCCCCCCAAAAAATGGAGGAAAATGTCTGTGCATCTTATGGAGTGAATATGGAGCGGCCGGCACGGTATTCCTGCTGTCGCCACTACAGTGTTAGAACCTGCAGACTCTCGGCTCTTCTGTGCAGTAGAACCTGCAGACTCTCGGCTCTTCTGTGCAGTAGAACCTGCAGACCTCCAGCGGTCCTACCTTTTCCTTGGTCCAGCAGTGTCCTCACCATCTTCTCTCTCCCCGGCATGTTTAGTGTGGGCACCTGGCTGCAACAGCTTGCGTCTTCACAGCCGGGTACCCACTGCGCATGCGCGAGCAGTGCTGCTCTTTGAGAATGGCCCTGTAGTCTTCTGGGACCTGTCACATGTCCCAGAAGACTACGGGGAGGGAGTGCAAGGACAACTCCGCGGAAGTGGGAGCGCATACCTGTCAAATTCGGTTACACCCCCCCCCCCCCCCCCCGCTCCCCAAAGGTCCACAGTCTCTGGTGATCTCCTGTACTGTGTCCGCAATCTGTGGTCATCTCCTGTACTATGTCCGCAATCTGTGGTCATCTCCTGTACTATGTCCGCAGTCTGTGGTCATCTCCTGTACTATGTCCGCAGTCTGTGGTCATCTCCTGTACTATGTCCGCAGTCTGTGGTCATCTCCTGTACTATGTCCGCAGTCTGTGGTCATCTCCTGTACTATGTCCGCAGTCTGTGGTCATCTCCTGTACTATGTCCGCAGTCTGTGGTCATCTCCTGTACTATGTTTGCAGTCTGTGGTCATCTCCTGTACTGTGTCCGCAGTCTGTGGTCATCTCCTGTACTGTGTCCGCAGTCTGTGGTCATCTCCTGTACTGTGTCCGCAGTCTGTGGTCATCTCCTGTACTGTGTCCGCAGTCTGTGGTCATCTCCTGTACTGTGTCCGCAGTCTGTGGTCATCTCCTGTACTGTGTCCGCAGTCTGTGGTCATCTCCTGTACTGTGTCCGCAGTCTCTGGTCATCTGTACTATGTCCGCAGTCTCTGGTCATCTCCTGTACTGTGTCCGCAGTCTGTGGTCATCTCCTGTACTATGTCCGCAGTCTGTGGTCATCTCCTGTACTATGTCCGCAGAGTGTGGTCATCTCCTGTACTGTGTCCGCAGTCTGTGGTCATCTCCTGTACTATGTCCGCAGTCTCTGGTCATCTCCTGTACTGTGTCCGCAGTCTCTGGTCATCTCCTGTACTGTGTCCGCAGTCTCTGGTCATCTCCTGTACTATGTCCGCAGTCTCTGGTCATCTCCTGTAGTATGTCCGCAGTCTCTGGTCATCCCCTGTACTGTGTCTGCAGTCTCTGGTCATCTCCTGTACTATGTCCGCAATACTGCCGCAATACTACAGTGTACTGCCGCAGTATTCAGGATAGACTGAAACGGGAATTACAGTGAGAAGGGAGTTACAGTAGTAAAGGTGTGATATAATAAGGGAGTGAATGAGTTGCTTAGTAGTTTCCGGGGTTAGAAACGGACGTATTTTGGAGATGTTGCGGAGGTGAAGTCTACATGAGTTTGTCAGCGATTGGACCTGGGGCTGGAAAGACAGATTGGAGTCTAGGATGACACTTAGTACTCTGGCTTGCAGGGTGGGACTGATTGTGGCGTTGTTAGTCGTGATGGAGAAGTCGGTTGGGGGGGGGGGGGCGGACTGGGGGAAAAACTAGGAGCTCAGTTTTGGGAAGATTTAGTTTGAGGAAGTGGAGTGACATTCGATATGTCGTTCAGTAGGCTTGTGAAATGGGCGGAGACTGAAGGGGTGAGGCGGGTTGTAGAGAGATAGATTTGCGTGTCGTCAGCATAGAGATGGTAGTTGAAGCCGTGAGAGTGTATCAGTTGGCCAAGAGAGGAGGTGTAGATGGAGACGATAAGGGGCCCGAGGACAGAACCTTGAGGGACCCCAACCGAGAGGGGGAGTGAAGGGGAGGAGGCAGTGTTATAGGTGACACTGAAGGAGCGCTGTGATAGATAGGAAGAGAGCCAGGAGAGAGTGGAGTCTCTGAGGCCAAGAGAGTGTAGTTTTTTGAGGAGGAGGGGGTGGTCAACCGTGTTGAAAGCTGTGGAGAGGTCGAGGAGTAGGAGCACTGAATAGTGGCCATTAGCTTTGGCGGTTAGCAGGTCATTGGTGAGTTTGAGTAGGGCAGTTTCGGTGGAGTGTAGGGGGCGGAAGCCAGACTGTAGGGGATCAAGGAGGTTGTTGTCGGTGAGGTGGGAACTCAGGCGATTATAGACTAAGCGCTCTAGGAGTTTGGATGTAAATGGCAGCAGGGAGATGGGTCTAAGGTTGTTCAGATCGGTGGGATCCAGGGAGGGTTTTTTAAGTATGGGAGTGATGTGCACTATTACCATGCCTGCAATGGAAAATGGGCCTCTGCAGCTGGTGTCACAGGTGAGCTTTATATCATGTTTCCTTTTAAAACCCATTCTTGCCATAACGCAGTGTGCTGCAGTGTACAGTACATACTTTCATATATTAAGACATGTTGCCAGGCAAACATGCAATGCAACACATAGAGCATATGAATGCAAATAGCATCACATTTCAAGGCACATCTACAGTGCAATATGGTAATATGCATTATAATGCAGCTTATGAAAAGTGCTTGATTTATAAGAGGGCAAAAGGGGAAATTGCCCCGGACCACCCTGCTAGAGGGGGCCCCAAACTTCCTTTACAAAATAAATGATATTATAACATTAGTTTTATTATTTAAAAAACTGAACAAAATGTGTGGGTGTATGGCACAGTTATTAAAGGTTCGGCTTAGAACAAAAAAAAATATAACAAAGATGTCACTTACCTGCTCTGTGCAGTGGTTTAGTACAGACCAGCCCCAATTCTCTTCTTCTTTGGTCCCCTAGCACTCCTGGCTTCTTCCCCTTGGCCAGTGCCCCCAATAGCAAGCGGCATACTATGGGGCACTGGAGTGAGCCCAGCTCTATGCTTCCAAAATACACATAGAGCCCCACCCCCCACTTTCTCCTCATTGGCTCACTGGCTGTGATTCACAGTAGCAGGATCCTATGGTTCTTGCTGCTGCCTCGATCTCCAGTGAGGAGAGAGAGCCACTGCTCTTGGGCACAGCTCTGGATCAATATTGGGCTCAGCTATAAGGGAGGTTGGCGGGGGGAGGGGAGCAGCACACAGAATGCATTAATATCAAAAACATTCTATCATTACAACTACTTTAAATAAGACGTTTGGTGCTCACATTTTCAGCCCTTGCATGTAGTCTATGCTCACTTACTACATACTACATATAGTAACATGTTAGTTGGTTAGTCTGGCTGAAAAAAGACAAAAGTCCATCTAGTTCAACCATAAAAAAAAAAAGTTATAATCCTATACCCACAGTTTATTCAAAGAAAGGCAAAAAAAACAAAACAGCAAAGCATGATCCAATTTGCTCCTTTAGGGGAAAAAATTCCTTTCTGATCCCCTGAGAGGCAATAGGATATTCCCTGTATTAACTTTTCCTATAAATGTTAGTATCCAGTTATATTATGTTTTATGTGTATGTATTATTATGTGTATGAAGGAAAGAATCCAGGCCTTTTTTTTTTCAAGCAATCCACTGAGCTGGGAGTCTATTCCACATTTTTACAGCTCTTACTGTGAAGAAACCTTTCTGTATTTGGAGATTAAATCTCTTTTCCTCCAGATGTATAAAGAGTGCCTCCTTGTGCTCTCTGTTGACCTCAGGGTGAATAACATAACACCGAGTCCACTATATGAACCACTGATGTATTTATACATGTTGATCATATCCCCTCTTAATCTCCTCTTCTCAAGACAGAATAAATTCAGTTCCCCTAATCTTTCCTCATAGCTGAGCTCATCCATGCTTCTCATCAGTTTGTCTGCCCTTCTCTGCACTTTCTCCAGTTCCCCAATGTTCTTTTCGCGAATTGGTGCCCAAAACTGAACTGCATATTCCACATGAGGTCTTACTAATGATTTGTACAGGGGTAAAATGATGTCTCTCTCTCTCCCTCTCGAGTCTATACGAAAGGATATTGCTTGCTTCAGAAACTACAGCTTGGCATTGCATGCTTGTGATTTACCAGAACTCCCAGATTCTTCTCCACCATTGTTTCCCCCAGTTGTACTCCCCCCCCCCCCCCCCCCCCCCTATGAATGATGCATGCATATTCTTAGCCCCCAAGTGCATAACCTTACATTTATCAACATTAAATCTCATTTGCCACATAGTTGCCCAATTACACAGTACATTGAGGTTGGCTTGTAAATTGGGGACATCCTGTAAGGATGTTAGTCCACTGCACAGCTTGGTGTCATCTGCAAAGACTGAAATTGTATTTTTTATCCCAGACCCTATATTGTTTATAAATGTATTAAAAAGTAAGGGTTCCAACACTGAACCCTGGGGTACACCACTGACAATCCTAGACCATTAAGAGTATGAATCATTAACCACTACTCTTTGAATATGATCTTTTAGCCAGTTTTTCTATCCATTTACATACTGATTTTTCCATGCCTGTAGACTTTACTGTACACATTAGCCATGTGTGGGGAACTGTGTCAAACGCTTTTGCAAAAGTATACCACGTCCCACCGCCACCCCTCTGTCCAAGGTTTTGCTCACCTCCTCATAAAAAAAAAAAATCAGATTTGTTTGACAATTTCTGTCTTTCATGAATCCATGCTGTCTGTTGCTTCAAATATTTTTTTCAGCAAGAACTCGATCTATGTGGTATTTTATTAAACTCTCTAGTATCTTCCCAACTTTAGATGTTAAACTAACAGGTCTATTGTTACTTGGTAAAGAATTTGATCCCGTTTTAAATATAAGCACCACATTGGTGTTATGCCATTCCAGTGGTACTATGCCAGAGTCCCCTAAAAATGAGAAATGGCTTTGAAATTACAGAGCTCAATTCTTTAAGGATCCGTGGGTGTATGTAAGCTCTCTAAATTTCCACTCGCCTGCTCGCATTGGGCGAGTGGAAATAAGGTGGGTGCGAGCAGCGCCGGGGCTAGGGGTGTGTGGGGGAGGGGCAGTGGTGGGGGTGGTGACAAGCAGCAATCTCCTGTATGGCTTTCAATGAAGCAGCTGGAAGCTGTGGGGGGGAGTGAAGCTGTGGGGGGGAGAGGAGGAAAGCAGCTTCCAGCTGCTTCATTGAAAGTCATAAAGGAGATCGCTGCTTGTTATTGCCCCCACCGCTGCATCGATCATCGCGCACGTTCCGTTTTTTTTTTTTTCTGCCCCCCCGCTGAGTGCTCCTCAGTGTCCAGCCCCTCCCCCCATCCTCTGCACCAATAGGAGAAGAGGGGAGAGAGGCTGGATCTATTCTGTCTTACCCTATGCCTGCCCACTCTCCAGTTCATGCAGCTTCAGAGGATGTGTGGGCGGGAAATTGAACACAGAGCAGTCGACAGCTCTGAAGCAATTGACTGAGTCATGTGAGTCCAACCTCCCTTCCTTCCACCCACCCCTCTGTCACGTACCTGATAGGAGACTGAATTGACGAGGTCGGCCTCACTTGTGTCACTAGCCCTGACCCCGCTGAGGTTGGAACAGAGGGAGTCTAGGGACCAGGGGAACAAGAGCGCCTGAGGTGGCTCTTGCAGATGCTTGTGGCTCTTGCAGATGATGGCCTGAGAAGGCAGTGTATCCTCTGATTTGAGTATTGTAATAGAATGTTACTACCATGTGCTGGCAAAAATCTTGGATTTCTGCTGAGCATGGTGGGAAATCTTTTTATGCCTTTTAGGTCCAATCCCCCCAGAGGGGTGTGCTGAGTTCATATAAGCCAAAAAAACTGCACAAATTAAAAAAAAATGCAAAAAGAAAAGTGTCTTTGTCTTGCTAAAAAGCTGGGTGTGTAAAAAAGAAAGAAAAGGAATATCAAAACTCTGTTTAGTTTGCTTTCCCCTTGTGAAAAAGGACATAGAAAGACATCGTGTTGTTTTACTTCGAACTGAATTAGGAAAGAGGGAGAAATGAAACCCAGCTGAAACTTTATAAAAAAACAAAAAAAATGAAAAGTTCTTGTCCCGTTGTTGTTG